AATTCTATCAATTTTTATTGTTTAGAAACCAACTGGACGTTAACAAGTAAACTTTTTTCATCCAAAATCATTGTTCTTCCGAGTCTGATTTCTTTTTAATTATAGGAAGTGCGTTTTTCTAAAGTATATAAACTTTTGGGATTAACTGTATAGCCAACACATTCTTAAAGTCAATTTTCTCGAAAACAAAGCCTCATACATAGACAGACTTTGTTCTACATTTTCATCTTATTTGGATACGTATTAATGTTTAGTTATTTTTGCTCATCTAATGTTTACTTTAAGAGCACTAACTTTCAATCATATAAGATAAGATTGTGTCAAGGATACTTCTCCAATTCATGATTTCATCCCTTCAATCACCCCTGATCTTCCTTTAATCTACGCATAATCATCCCCATTCCCTTATTTTCCGCTTTCCCTGAGTTTTCCTTATTCATCTATAACCCACAATTGGAATACTTTCTGTCGCTTCAAAGCTCGTATGAAGTATAAAACTAAAGTCAACTTAGTTGAACTTAGAATTCCTCCACTCCTTTTTCTTACGCAATCTAACAATTATTTTTCGATATAGAATAAGTTCTATTTCGTTTGTACCACCAGTTACTGACCACTCTGTATAGTTGAACGAACTCAATTTATCTTATCGATTACCAAATTTCTGTGTCATTGCCGGAGTATTTGAGTACCCTGACGGGTTCGATGTCCGTGGCTCTCGGCCTGGGACTCTTGGCAAGATTCGTGACAGGAATCGATATCGTCAGGTTCACATCAAAGTCCACGTTACTATCAACCAGCGGCTCGGGGCTGGCCACGGTCTCCGGGTAATTAATCCTCTCCTTCAATAGTTCCTCCTGCAGCTCTTCGGACGGCGTGCGACAAATTTTCGACGATTTGTCGCCGCTCCCGGAGAACTTCTTGATAAACATTATTGGGCTGTTCGCCATACGATAACTCTCGCTCCGTTTCACTTTACGCTCGACGAACCTATCGCCCCTGAACGCGTCGGTTTTCTTTACAGAATCATTATCGCTACATGCCTCGGTCTCAGGAACGTTCGCGGGATCTGCGATCATATTTTTCAATCCGGGTTCGTCCGTCATGCCGGTAGACTTGTCGCCGTTTCGCGCTGAAACCTCGCACTCCTCGAGAGCTTGACCATTCCGCTCGAACCTAGTAATCTTTCGATAAAAGTTGGGCGTGTCGAGGTCAGATACGAGTAATTTCCTAGCTAACTTCGGGGTATTACCACCAGCCGTTTTCGAGCAGAGAACTGATTTCTCGAAATCGAGCCGTAGGTTCGTCTGTCTAATGACAGACGAAGATTGCTCTATACCATTTAAGACGCGTTGATACTTAGGAAGGGTTATAGTGTCCTCGATTTCCGGCGGATGATTCTCGTCGTAGGCAACCGCGTTTAACGACCCGTTGTCAGGGCTGTACGTTTTACAAAGCTTGGTTGTAGGATCCGATAGTTTGTTACTCGGCGCCAGTGCTGTCGTTCGACAATTATTATTGCCCGAAAGCAACGGACTTCCGTTCACCCCGTTGTTAGGTCGCGGGTTCATCGCTAATGTACATCGTGCCTCTAATCTATCGGTGGTGCGATTCTCAGTGCCAGAAGCAACCTTCGTCTTACCTTCATCGTCCTGCACGTTCACGTATGCCCCGCGAACTTGACGATGCGGCGTCGTTGGACTCGTAGGGCCGACGACAGTCGTTGGTGTCCGCACGTAATCCGGGCTGGCTGCGCGATCTGGACTTCTCGCGGCTCGGATGATCACTTTGCTTAATTGCGGGGATGTTGGTGGAGTCGATTTGGTCGCTGGGCTGTCCACCGCGTCGCTGGTTTTTGTTACTGCGCGGATGTTGGGTGTCGCGCGGTGCAAAAGCGGCGACGGATTCGGTGACACACCTTCTCTCACGAACGGACCTGGATTTTAACATTAAATTAATTCATTAGATAGATTCCAGCTCAAAAGATTGGACCATTCACTACTTTTTGGACGAAACAGATAATTGTTTGAAAATATTGCTCTTATATTAATATTATACTGTATCAACATGTTTCATAGTTAAACTTAAGATCATAACAACATAAACTTTTGGAATTGATTGTATAGCCAATACATCCTTAAATAGAGGAAAGTACCTAACATTGAAAACCGACCTCTGGATTATTTGCAAAACGTATGGAATAATATTGAAGCGGAAGGAAAATTAATTTCCAGAATGACCAAATTATATCAAGAATTCTTTTCGAAAAGCTGCTTTTGTAAATTAGCATAATTTTTTTAGTAAGTAAGAGTAATATAATCTTGACTTTCACTTGTATGTAGAAATAACTAACATTTCTATGCTGTCAAAATTTAATATTATAAACAGTTTATTTACAAAAAAAGTTTCATTACTTGTTTTGAAACCCTAACTGCCTCAAGTTTTGAACGAAAGCGTATAATGACACGAAGTATTGATTATATTACAGGCAAATCAAACATACAGTGGCTAAATAAAGTATTGGCTCACTTTTAAAGATAGAATAACTTTTTTATTATTGAACCAAACAATATAATTTTTTGTAAGATCTTAGTAGGATTAGTTTACCACGTAATGATCAAAAACAGTTTGTTCAAAATTTTTAGTGGTCTAAATCGCGAAAAGAAAACATTGCCTTTTCTAACTTCTTTATTGGGATCTCCATTAACAATTTGAAACATCCCGTTTGTGGATCTAAGTAAGTACTTTTTGGAGCCAGTGTAGTTTATTTTGCATAAACATCCGCATTCTTATGAACCTGTTTCAGTGGAATAGTAAATATTCTTTTACCTGGATTAAACGTAGTATGGGCTCCTTTCCTCCTCTTCAAACTATCCGACGAGTAAACCACCTTGCCTTCCGAGTCTAAAGTGACCCTGGCCCCTTGCCTCTTCCTCTCCAACGACGAATCCGGTTTCTTCGGTAACTCGGTCAAACTGACATACTCCGCGTCCTTTTTGAACACGTCAGAGTTTGCATAAGTGACGGGTGATCGGACAGAACTATTAACACTGGAACAAGAAGCCGAATCCTGCCGGTTTCCATTATTGTTCCTCACGTCGGCTATGGTGACATAGTCGCCGGAGTCCGCGTTTACTTGCTCCTGACCGGTGTTCTTCACGTGCAGGTGCTTCCTGCCCGGAAGCACGCCGCGAAGCTTGCCCAGAACTCCGCTCAGTGGACTGATTTTGTTAGTCGTTTGAATTATTTGCCCAGTAGGTTGCTTCTCATTCGCGGGCGAGGGTAGTACTTGGATCGTAGCGTAAAGATTCTTGTCCTGGCCATTGATCACCTCCATCTTCGAGGTACCAACCGTCGCAGACATCAACACCGAACCACCCGTCTGACGATCGTTCTTCCTATTCTCTGTTTTCTTACGTGTTTGTTCCGAGTCTCTCGCGTGCTCGTCATCCGAGCACGGCGGCGTGATCACGCACATGGACGGTATACGGCTACTATTGATCGCCGTCTTCGAACGAATCCTCTCGATCCTCTCGCAACCCTCGAGATCGCTGGATTCCGAGTACTCGAACTCCGAACAGGACCGACCAGTGCACGCAGGACTTGAGGCTGATTCCACGGGTGATGACGAGGTATTGTGTCCGCTGTCTGGCGACTCGCCACCATTTTGGTTTGACCCGTGAACCTGTTAGAAAATATAATATAGCTGCTTATTTTTTTCTTGAATGAGTTTCATAATTTTTTTATTACAGACATTTTACAGTAGATAAATACTGTTTTTATATAAGGCAATTTTTTTAATCAACTTCGTATATATGCCATTTATTTTTTAAATACTGTCCCATTTGATAAAACATAGTAAATAAAAGTTGATAATAATCATTTCAAACGTGTTACTTTATGTGCTGTATTAGTACGAGGCAAATTCGCGTACAACGCGATATCTTACAACACAAACTCATATAACGCGTAACGTATTAACGGCGTTCTTCTACAAGTTTATCCTTATATCTTGAACTTTCGACTACGACACTTATCCTACAGCGGAGGCGTTTTTCGAGGCTAAAATTTCGTCACATGGTACGTAAGATTTTCCCATCGTTACGGACTCCATTGTGAACACTAATTAAAACACTCCATTGTATGGGAGTCTATTGTGTATTTTGAAATTCGTGCTCACCATGGCAACGACGGTAAGGCTGGATTTCCTTTCTGGCGGCGGTGGAGCCATCAAAGCGGTGCATACCGTCCCCGCGGAGCTCGTCGTTGTCGACGTCGAGCCTCTTCCAAATAATTCGTACTCGTTTTCGACGATCGGTGAGGTAGGATCGGAGCTGACGTCATTCGATTTGATCAACGGGCTCTGCGGAACCTGCGGATCCTCTTCCCTGAGAGTTTTCAAACCGGAGTCCACGTGAAACGAAGTGTAATAGCCCTCAGTATCGCACGAGTACACGGATGAAGTTTCTCCATCGTCCGAGAATGGTACAACCGCGATATCTTGGATGATATCTGGCGTTAACGTGCCCTCCGACGTCACTGAGGACGAGGTCGACGTGTCTCGTCCTTTGAACCGCCTCACGTGACTTAGAGATGTTGACGACGTGCCGATCGAGGCTGTAGTTGTCGATCTACACATTTATTGTTAATATATACGATTAATACATTACTTAGTATTAGTTAATATATAAGATTAATATATTAGCATTAGACTGCGAATTTTATGTAATTATAAGAAAGTTATATGTACAGAAATGAAAGATGTCGTGTATAATACAGGATGAGTCACCTAACGTTTGCACAAGTTCCTTGAATGACCTTAAATAACTTTGAATAATTATAGTCACTGAATTCCTAATGAAAGGGACTATCATCGTAAATGTTTAAAAAATGGTGGTTCCATTTAAATAATTGAAAGTGACCTTCATATCTCTAAAAAAATAACATAAATACAAAAATATTTTTGGTATCGTGTGACCCCCACTGAACTATTAATTATTCTTAAAACATTTGACGTATCTTTAAAACCAACAAAGATACTTGAGGTGCAAACATTAGGTAACTCATCTTGTATAAGACAATTTGGAATACGAACGGTAAAATGACTTGTGCCATTATAGCTTTTACTAACCAGTCTACTCCAGAAGATATTAACAAAAATCTAGTATAGAAATCTAAATTTTAGGTACATTGTTATTCATATGATAAAACTTATTTAACTCATGTAATATAATAAGTAATCTACAATCCATATAGGCAATAAATAATTTAATATTTTTAATGAGAACATGGATGATTACCTCGGTTGATGAGTAGTGGTGGTGGTTTCGCTTCCGATGCTGGCCCTTCCGCTTTCGGAGGACGCGCTCCAGTTTCCGGAGCTGGAATGGGGCGCCTCGTCGCGGCTGCCACCCTTTCGTCTTTCCCTCCTCTGCGCAGCGCTCTCGCGTAATTTCACGCCTGGTTGCCGATCGCTGCTCGGCACTGACACCGGTATACTCGAGGTACTCTTTCCGCTTGAACTGGACGAACTCGGCTTCCTCTCGTGCGACTTGTCCTTCTTGCGCCTGGTCGTTACCATTTTGTAAATACTTCTGTCTCCACTTGTTCTCCACCGACCTTCTCCCCGTACTAACCTTTCCGTTCCGCTCGTCGCTGCGCTCGTGGTCTCCTGTTGCTCCGAATGCTGTTGCTGACTCGATTTTGGACTGATCAGCTTCAACCGAGACATGCCCCAAGCCTTTAATGTGTTGAAATGCGACTTCTTCTCTGTTGGTGACTCTTTTTTTGATGAACCCAATATGTCTGTGCTTGCCGATCGGTGAGCTCTTGATGCCACAGTCGATTCTTCTGCATCCTCTCCCGTCGTCTCTCTGAGAATAAATAGATAAAATCAAGATAATATACAATCTACATATGTACAGGGTCGTCCATTTATCTTGAGATAAGTCAATACTTTGTAAACTTTCTTTAAAATAATGTTTCGAATGAAAGTTGAAAAATTCCGAAGGATTGATCACGTGATAGCATAGGATTTTTTCATAATGAACGTCGAAAAGTTATATTGTAGAGTACAACTTGATTTTCTTAAATGGGAACTCCTTTTTTTATTATCACTTTGCAACTTTTGTCTTAATCATTTCTTTGTTAGTTATTATTTTTCCAAGATAAATCATGTAAGGTAGTTGCCTAAATCAGAAGTATTGAAAATTGTTCGAAATTTTGTAGAAGATTGATACAAATAGCAAAGAATGTCTGCTAAACCCTGGATCGATTGGCCATCTCGTTTTCGAGATATCGTCAAAATTTCGCAAGATATTGGCCAATCTTGAGATAAATGGAACACCCCGTATATAAAAGAGATTCCTGACTGACTCATTCATCAACAGCTAGTAAAGACCAACGTGCGATAAAGATACTTATACTTAATTTACTTGTAATCTTCGGTACATTGCTTGAGATAAAGTTGTAGAATAATGATGACTCACCCTCCGATAGCCTGTCGAATTTCCTTCTGATCGGTACCAGCGATCGTATTCCGTCTCTTGCCCCTGGGCCTGCGAGGCCGGGACCGCCTTTTCACAGCTGTCTCCTGACCCTCCGGACCGGACAACAGAGATCTCCTCCTCATCGACATTCTCTCGAACCCTTTGCCACTGACATCCACCGCTACAACTTCCGCCGGGAATCTACAATAAAAGTCATATTCATTCCTGACAATCATTAAATGCTATCTATACTGTCAAGTCAGACAGTATCTGTGTTCAACATCTAATAGCAAAATGATTAACTCCGACCTAGACATTGAGCTCTGGGAATTTTAAGGTTAAGGTTATTACGAAGACCCGTAGTACAGGCTGATGAAACCGGTACCATCGGTTTGTAACGTCGGAAAATTTACAATCGGACAGAAGATCGGTAAAAGTGTATCCGGCTCGGGTGTTCATTATCTTTACGGTGGCATAAATTCCTCGCTTACTTCAGAGCGATCGCCTGAACCTGTTCCTCGGGGCTCGGAAGCTTGTGATCGACGGCTTCGTCGCTGGTCGTATCGCCGAGGATTCTTGACATGCAATCCGGTGGTACGGTTACGTCCCCGAGCGCCTCCGTCGACGTCCATCGTCGTAGATCTTCGATAGCGGCCGGCTGCAACGACCAATTATGTTTATGCTGTTATAATCCAGCCGCGTAACGTTACTCAATCTTCCGTTTTACGGACAATCGTGAATTATCGAGTTCCAGATTGAAATAGCATCAGAGTCGCAGATTTTTAATTGCCGCATAAAGGATATAGTATAGGCTATATATTTAAACGATGCTAGCATGTTGAATTTGTTATTATAAATTCCTATTACTATTAAAAAACTACCGTAAAATTTTAAATCGATTCATGGGTTTTTTGAAAAATTATAATGACATAAAATTTGCATCTACTCTTATGGTAATCAGCAATAACCCAAAGAAAATTTCACTTTGATCTCAAAAATAGCCCAGAAAAAACGATGATAAACTCTTGAAAAAGGTCACATCGAATTGCCAGTGTTTTATGAACAAATTTCTAAAAAAATAATCATCATTCATGGACTTTAAAGAAAGTTATTGATTAAAATATAATAAAAAAATTACAAACTCATCGATAAGAGGAGTCCTATCCTATTTCTACAATATTTTTTGAACCATCAGAGCATAGTGAGTGTCGATTTTCAGTTAAATTTTTTATTTTAAATTCATAATATTTTATTTTTTAGGGTTAAAAGTCTGCAGAATTCACTAGGAAAAATTTGTGATATGAAAGTACTTATATAAACAATATAACAAGTTCTATCAATTTTTACTGTTTAGAAACCAATTGAACGGTAACAAGTAAACTTTTTGAATCCAAAATTATTATTCTTCTGACGTCTGACGCAGTCCAACAAAAGATCGTTATTCATTTTTTTGCAATAGTTATTCTTATAGAGTTGCAAAAGCTTTACAAAAAACTGAGAAATTTGGGAAAGAGCTTATAATTGTTAAAGTTTTGAACGAAGCTGACGTAAGTATTTTACACATATTATTTTTGTATTTATGCGAGAATTGCTTTATTCAGCTGGGATTTGTTACACAGTATTGGATGCTAGAGACATTTCTAATAGAGAAACCATTTACAGAAATATGTAATACCTTAAAAATCGCTTTTTTTTTAAAAGAGTACGTTTAGAGATTATTTTTGTTTCTGGATTCATTTTTTACATGAGAAATTCTATGAGAATTATGTAGTAGATATTGCAGAGAAATATTCTGTACCTCTTAATCGATAATTGAAATTAAAAACAAATCGTTAATTCAAATTTTCTTTAATTAAGATAATTAAATAACTTCAAGTCTTAATTAATCAAATCCGAATTAACAACCAATCGTTAATTGTCAATTGATGTTCAATTGAATTAAATATTTAATCATTTATCTACAACCCTAATAGTACCTGTAACATTTATGTTACCATTCAATCTAGTTTTGGAATATTGTTTAATTTAATCAAGTATTCTGAGATAAAATCTGTTTTTTATTCGTGTACACCTCTGGAGTGTAATTTCTTCTAACTTTCTCCTCGTAGAATAATACACAATAGTAAAGGAAGGAAGCTTCACACAATTCTCTCTGGTAGCTACTGCTTCAAACTTAAGAGTAATCAGTCCAAACTGTAATATTTTAGTTCAAGCGATTTCACTTGATTCATGAGAACGAGTCACGCAGGATAAGACATTCGTAGCTTTAACAGAGAAGTGAAAGTTCTATTTGTCATACAGACAATTTTGCAGGAATAAGTATCTACGTCCATATTAAGATATTGGATTGTTCCGGCAAGTTCATTCCGATTTCTAATAGTTGGATTAGGACAGATCAAAGTACGTCAGAATAATTGAACATGAAGAGCTCACGGCAACAAACGGTCAGATTTTTATGTTCCATGAAAAAATGTTTTCTAGTTACAAAATTACGTTAAACAAAATATATCGTTTGATTTTCCAATGTTTTTAATTAATAAATCAACAATTGAAATACACATCAACGTAACAACAGTTCAATAGAAAGTACACTAGAAAAAATTTAATCTCGTTCAGGACAGCAAGAAGTCATAAATGGCTCACGATATAACCAATTGCACCGAATTAATTCAAAAATTTGTTCTTTTAAAGCCAAGTCGAAGTCGAGTTAACCGTTTGTTACCCTAAACTCCTTAAATGATGTAAAAGGTGATATTTCAAGCATCTTCAGAAAAAGTAATTATTCAGTGAGATTATGCCGATATTTAATAAAGTAAGTCACAAAATGAAGTAAAAATCATATATAGTTACTGCGTTCTGAATTTCAAGCAATCTTCACGTTTTTCCTCACAATTCCTATTAATTTTAGTTTTTTCGAAATAGTCCTTACAACATCATTTAGTCACCTAAGTACTAAAGAAAACTCTGATTACTTGGCCTGACTTAAAAAAAAATGCTGTTCAGTTCTGTTCTTTACTGTAAAATTCAATAAACGTATGTCAAAATTTAAATGTGCTGCCTTTCTACAAAAATCGAAACGAATTTTTTTCGGACAACCTAAGAAGACCCCAGAAATTCTAATGAGTCATAGTCGTCCACAATCAATATCCTCAGATTACATGAAGTTGAAAAGAACATTTGCGGATTATTAGCGTCGGAATTTGCATAACTGGAAGAACGATGGCTAATGGGCATCGAGCAAAGTCGCCGTACTTCCTTCTTTGATTCTCTGATTCGGAGAAGCAACAGGGGCTTCTGTTTCTGAGAAACCTGATGCTGCGGCGAAAAGCGAGCGACGTGTTTTACGCGCTACGGCGTTGCGTGGGCAAAACCATTGTTGGATGTCACCTTGTGACCAAAGCGGCTTTCACGCACAGAATACGGAACGGATTATGTTTCCTACCATACCGGGACTCGGCTCTTTTCTAACGGCCAGTGAGAACTCTTTCGCAAACTGGGTGAAATCGAACTTTAAATGCAGCAACCAAACTCTAGATTCACAGGTAACTCTCATTTAACAGGAAATTTTTTTTAACAGGAAACCGTTGGGATTAATTATGTGTTCGTTTTTTCAAAAATTTTTGGTGTTTTTTTCTAATTCAATCGAGTTCGCTTAATTTATAAGGTCTGTTCTCCGAATAACTCTTGTATACATGTAGTGACCCTCATTAATACTCGGACACATTTCAAAACCGACAAGCTTTTTTAATATTGGACTAATGAACGTAATTTCTTTTTAAATGTAATTAAATAGAAGACGGGGTTTTGAACAGTAATGGTAAAATAGAGAACATGACATTAGATAGAAGACATGTTATTAAATAGAATACATGGTATTAGGTAAAGGACATAATATTAAATAAAAGACATAGTTTCCTAAATAATGATATAGTAACTTTCATTTTTACATTATAAATAATGATACTCAGATCTAGGAGAAACGTATTGTAGACTTTTATTACTCTTATTTGTATCAAGGTAGTGGATTTATAAATAACACTATAGGAATCTTATTCCTGATTATTATTATACAGGATGGACCATGGACCGGAAATCGTAGTACAACCGGGCAGAGGATGATTCTACGTTAAAAAAGAAGAAAATATTTTGATATAATATTTTTTTCATCCGGAATTCCGTTTTCGTGAAAAGCGACTTTAAAGTATGTTCAACTTGTAAACGATTTATACTTGTGCCAGTGGGATTACCATTACAAGCTCTCAAAGCAACCAACATATCAACATACTTCCGATTGGAATATTTTACCATAGCTTAGTGATGACCTAATCAGACGAAGGTCAATGAGAAGAAACGAACTACTTTACAAGAAGTCAAGAGTTTAATACAATTTTTGACGCTTTTCGAGGAGGCAATTACGGTTTTGCAACGAGAGAAATCTCTTACATTGCATTTAGTACCCTTATGGCACTATCGATTATGAAGGCATTGTGAAATACAAGAAGCGGACTCAGTCATCACAAAAGCGATAAAGCAGAAGGTGACGCAGTATTTAAAAGAGAAATTTGTCTTACACAAATGCCATAAAATGGCAACGTTCCTGTTTCTAATAATAAACTATGACTCTTATTGTAAACTGAACTGTGCAGACGCTTTTTTCCATCGTTGTCAATGTTTTAAATACTATCCCGGACAGAGACAACTAGAGCAGTGGAATGCACGACAAGCAAATTGTACTAAATCGGTTATAAGTTGAACAAACTTTTGGAGCCGATTTTCACAAGAACGTTGCTCCGGATGACAAAATGTTATACCAAAATATTTTCTTCTTTTTAATGTAGAATCATCCCCTGCTCGATTGTACTACGATTTCTGGTCCACCCTGTATAGTAACTAACACATTACATTATAATTGTGTTAAGGAAAAAGAAAATTAAATGATATTATAATTTGAATCATTGCACGTGCACACGCCATGATCACACACATATTTCTCTATAAACAGTAACAGAACGACATCTCCTAATCATTGACCACTGAAGAACTAAAACATTAGAATTGTAACTCAATAATTACTGATCACATAAAGAACTTAAAAATTGTCTTTTATTCCATTTTTCGCAATGCTGGCTAATGCTATAGTATAATAGCAAACTATGTCTCATAACATCTGAAAAAAATATTTTTAGTTATTCTTGAAGCCTGTCAGATTTCACTAAGTCTAATTGTTGTGATATGCGAGCGCAGTATTCTGACTATTCCCCCTGTTTATTAACTAATCAGACTCCTAACGACACGTTCGGTTATCATTAGTCAGTTACTAATTGTATAGCAACGTGTAACCAGTTCATTCCATTTTATAGTAAATATACGTTCAATATTTAGTTAACTACAAGAGTCCTTCCATAATAGCTACAGCGAACCGTACATCCGAACCCAACACTAATAATTTTCCTCAGTCAGAGCCTAACCGTCAAAAACCTACCCTTGAGTCCTAAGCTTTCAAATACAAAACTGACCAGTCTGTGTGATATTTGTGTTGTCAAAGCACCATTATAGGAGGGCCACCACAATTTTCAAACTATATTGTATAAAAATCGTGTTCCGAAGGCACTACATTATGCGAGAGTATACTTGTGTACCCTTTGCACTCAGAATTTA